GTGGAACGGAATGAAGGTGGACGTGGCCAAGCATGTGGCCAAGTGTTTGATGTGCCAACAAGTGAAGGCACAGCATTGTAAACCTGGTGGAATGTTGCAGCCGTTGGAAATCCCAGAATGGAAATGGGAGCATATTACAATGGATTTTGTAACGGGATTGCCAAGAAGCCAGAGGGGACACGACTCTATTTGGGTGATAGTGGACAGATTGATCAAGTCGGCGCACTTTCTGGCAGTGCGAAAGGACTTCGAGCTAGAAAGGTACGCAGATTTATATGCGCGGCAGATAGTTCGTCTTCATGAAGTACCGGTATCAATCACTTCAGACCGTGATCCCCGGTTTACTGCTAATTTTTGGAAAAGTCTTCAATCGGCTATGGGGACAAAGTTGCAATTCAGTACGGCCTACCATCCGCAGACAGATGGCCAGTCTGAGAGGACTATTCAGACTTTAGAGGATATGCTGAGGGCATGTGTATTAGACTTTCAGGGCAAGTGGGAAGAGCAGTTGCATTTGGTCGAATTTGCCTACAATAACAGCTTTCAGCAGAATATCGGGATGGCACCGTTTGAAGCACTTTATGGCAGAGCGTGTAGGACACCATTATGTTGGGATGAAGTGGGAGAAAGAAGTGTGACGGGTCCAAAGCTAGTTCAGCAGTCGATGGAAACGGTAAAGATTATCCGGGAAAGGCTAAGGACAGCTCAGAGCCACCAGAAAAGTTATGCGGACCGAAGACGTAGACCGTTGGAGTTTCAGGTTGGCGACCATGTATTCCTTAAGATCTCACCGATGAGAGGACTGTCTCGGTTTGGCAAGAAAGGAAAGCTGAGTCCAAGGTATATAGGCCCGTTCGAGATTTTGGAAAGGATTGGAACGTTGGCTTATCGTCTCGCCTTGTCGCCGAATCTGTCGCAAGTTCATAATGTCTTCCACGTGTCAATGCTGAGGAAGTACGAACCGAATCTGACCCACGTGCTGAATCATGAGGTAATAGACATGGATGACAGGGTGTCGTACGTGGAGAGACCAGTACGAATCGAGGATAGGAAGGAGCAGGTTTTGAGGAATAAGACGATCCCGTTGGTCAAAGTTATCTGGGAACATCACGGGACAGAAAGCGCCACCTAGGAAAGTGAAGAAGTAATGCGACGTCAGCACCCCCATTTATTTGAGTAGTCGGGTTTGGATTGTAAATTTCGAGGACGAAATTTTTGTAAGGGGGGAAGAGTTGTAACGTCCTGAATTCGACCCACTTCGTAATCAATGAAATTGATGTATTTCTCATTTCGTCTTAGTAAGTCTCGCCCGGAACTAATCATTCTCATGATACTGACCAATAGGGAAAGGCTAACTAGGAAAAACGGTACGTGGACCCAAGAACTCGATCGTGAATTGAGTCCGATTCCGAAAAGCGACGAGGGAATATTTTGTGCCAATGTGGGCCGATCCAAGGAGTGTGACGGATTCGATTTGGCCAACGATGTACGATCGGATCACGGGTGATTCTGCACGACCGAGAGTAAACGTGGCGAACGGTCCCGAACTTATTCCAAACGATCGCGACCCCCGGAACTAGTGATAAAATCTCGTACTCTGTGGGAAATCGAGACCATCACGACTCGAGTAACCCTAGGTCGATACGCGTAACCCCTAAACAGCCACCCGTTAGTGAAAGACGCTAAAACTGCAAATTGAGCCAAATCGATCGTGGAATTGAGTCCGGACTTCGGTGTCGAATTTCGTGGGCGTACGCGACTATTTTGCAAGGACAACGTCGTATAAGTGTGGCCAATTATATTTGGGATCGGTAGAGCCGAAAATTGGAAATTTGACCAGGGATCGGAAAAATTACCATTTTGCCCCTATGCCCTAGGCTTAGTTCCGAATTTGGAGTTTTTAATTGGATTTATTACCCCCCAAGAATGCTGGAAATTAGTGGTCAATTGTGCCCCTAGATATTTTGGTTAGATTTAATCCTAACCCTAGAAGTGGGGGGGGCAAGATGGTCAATATTGCAAGGTGGTTCACCAACCCCACTATCTTCCTCAAGCCTATACACTCCCATTGTCTCTCTCTCTCCCCCATTTCACCCTCACCTCAGCCGGCAGCCCCCTCCTCCCACGCATCACTCTCTCCCTCTCGTTTTCATTTGCTCGGCCGTGAGAGGCCCTTCGCCGGAGCACCACCGCCGCGCGCCGCCACCGTCCGCCGCTCGCCCCGCCTAGCACCACCACCATCTCGACCATCCTCTCTCTCTCTCTCTCCCGTCCGCCACCGACCAGCATTCCCCTCCCCTTCGCCGCCTTGGATCGCCGTCCGCCGGAAAAGCCGCGCGCCGCTGCCGTAAGCGTCGCCGAGGACCGCCGCGAGACCACCTTGGACCGCCCATTTTCCCCACCTGTTCAGCTCAGTTGGGAGCTTAGGAATCCAAGTGAGTACAACCCTAAACCCTAATTAGGCTAATGTACATTTCTAGATGAGTTTTAGGGGTTAATTAGGGTAATTTAGGGGTTAACTTGTGGAGGATGTTAGGGGCTGACTTTGTGGTTAATTTAGTGGCTTAGTGTGATAATTTAATTGAGGTTTAGTGGTTCATAATGTGCTGTGTGGTGGCTGATCATGGGAGCCTTGGTTCGGGCAAAAATGTGGATTTGGCGGGTGTAATTTGTGAACCGAGTAGTGGCTGTTTCCATGGTGATTTTTGTGGTCTAATGTGGTGATTTGGAAGTGAATTAATGGCCTAGGGTAGACTGTTCATGGCTGATTTGGTATTGGATTGATTCGGGCCATAATCGGTTAATCGGGGTTTTAGTGCGAATCGCCAAGGAAATTGTGATCGGCCCATGAGGAGGCTGAATTAAGTATGGCTTAATTGTGATTGTGCAATGCCCTATGATGTGCTTGGCGTGGCCAATTCATGAGATGCTTGGTAGACTATCGGTATGAGTAGTTTTGGTGTTTTAATTGCATGAAATTGGGTGCCAAATTATACGTTGTGATTTATTTGGACTAATTAGTCTACTGGGCAAATTGAAATGTGAATTGAGCATGTTGTGGCGTTATTTGGAATAAGTAGCCAAATCTTATTGGGTGCCCAGTGTGAATTTCACGAATGCCGAATGTGGATATTGTGACCATGAGCGTGCATTCTGAGTATTGGCATAACATGTGCATTATGTGTGTGTACACGAACGGCATGAGCATGTGATCACTTAAATCGCCCTGATGCGTTTTACGCGGGGTTCAGATAATAATTGGTGATTGTGTACGTGTGATCACATAAAGCCCTGATGCATCTTACGCGGGGTATTGAACCCGTCCTGATGCATTTTACGGGGGACGATGCCCGGACTACTGGAAGATGACAACCTGATGCGTTTTACGCGGGTTGTGTCATGAGCCTGATGCGTTTTACGCGGGTCGGTGAATTTGGTAAATTGCAAGTGTGCAAGAGTGCAAGCGTGTGAAGGTGCATTAATGAGGCATGAGCATGAGTGTGAGCACGAACATATGCATGACATGCGTCATGGCTAAGTGACATGCGTATATGTGCCGTGGTTGAGTTATGTGCCGTTATTATAAATATATATATAGTGCCTAACCTGCAGGGTCACTTAAATATTGGAATTGGGCCCGAGAGCCTAAGTCATTTATATTTTGGATTGTGTGTTGTTTAGTGCTCGTCAGGAGGTGCATGTTAGCCTAGCTTAGGTTTATGGGGCCTACTCGCTGAGATTTATTCTCACTGTTGTACAAACCCAACTTTTCAGACCCCCGGCCCTGAGTATGCCAGATGTTCCTGTGCGTTTTGGGATTCCGCACCAGCTAGGGCGGACGGCGACCGAGTACCCCTTAGAGAATGGGGATATATATGTTAAGTATTATTCTGTAGTATTGGTCGATGTGGGGGAGGAGTACTATCAGCACCACGAGTATGTAGCCTGGTGTTTTAGGGACCGCTTCGGAGAGCATGGACCCCTCCGGGCTTTTGACGTCCCGTTCAACGGGCTAGGAGAGGTAGATCCCCAGTGTCAGGACGGGGAGCTGGCGAGTCCCGAGATCACATCCGATGGGAGTTCCAGTTCTGTTCACCGGCCTATTATTTGGGAGGTGGACGAGTTTGACCCGATGGATATGGAACCAGCATACTGGGATGTTGATCAGGAGCCGATGGAGTCAGACGAGGGGCCGAAGCCGATGGAGCAAGATCCCGAGCCTGAGGAGGTGGAGTCAGAGGACGAGCCGGCCGAGGCCGAGTCCGAGATGGATTCTATAGACTCCGAGGACGAGCCGTCAGATAGCTCTTCTGAGTCTTCGGGATCCAACCCGGACTGGGTCCCGTAGGTTTAGCCCTAGTTTTGATAGATCGGGCATGTACCTTTTTGACCGGAGCCCCTTCTAGTTTTAGTACCTCTGATCGCCCGGGCCACTTACCCCTTTTTGTCAGTAGTGGCCATTGACCCGCTTTTGATTTTTGATGTTCATGCTGTATATGAATATTGTATATGTTTCCGCCGCTAATGCAAATGTATATATGTTCATGTTGTTTATTGTATTGCTATCCTTGGTCTCGTGGTGTTCTAATCGTACGGGTGTATGTTTGCTTCCGCTTGTGCATTGTTCTCTGTGTTGGGTGTTGGGTCGGCGACGCGTCCTGGGACGTCGCATAAAATTTGACCACGGCAGGGGTGTGGCGCGCCGTAGGGTGCGGGGCGTGACAGAGTGGCTCCCTCCAGTCTGCATGTTGCTTGTCCGAGTAACTCTTTTTACGGTTCATCTGTTAGCTATTCTGATTGATTTGATTGGCAGTGCGAACATATGCATATGGTTGCTTAGATAACACTCAGATGAAGTTGGACATTACCAGCGTTGCTTACTCCTGGGTCTTCACTTAAGTACTTTTGAAGTTTTTATTTGTCCTAAGGTTTTCAACTGCTTTATCCAAAAATAGTGGTGACTCGTGGGGTTTAGCTTCTAATCATTACTTGTGCCACAGGTTAGGTTTCTCACAAAAATATACCATCCCAACATTGACAAGGTACTATTACAACTTTTTTTTCTTTTTTTGGCTGGAATATCTATCTGATTCTTAATGTGATTTTTCTTTCAATCAGCTTGGTAGGATATGCCTCGACATCCTGAAAGACAAGTGGAGTCCTGCACTACAGATTCGAGCTGTACTTCTTAGGTATATTAATGATTTCCCTTTGCATATTTGAGACTTCTGGAAAGGGACTGAAGAGGCTGAATTGGCACTCTAACAATCTAAATAGCTAAGGAGCACAAAAGTTCTACCAAATTGTTATAGATGTAGATCTTAGTTTTGCTGGCTCACGGCATCCCTCTCCCTTTATCTCGTGCTTTTATTATGGAGGCTAATGCAATAGTATTTGTTTGAGTTTGTCATGCAAAATGGTAAGTTTACTGTATTTGGAATTGAGGTTCGGCATGTTTATGTTGGATTTTTTGTACAATAGCCGATGGAAGTGTTTTCTGATGTACTATTCTGCAGCATTCAAGCTCTTTTGAGCTCTCCAAACCCCGATGATCCGCTATCTGAGAATATCGCTAAGCATTGGAAGACAAATGAGGCTGAAGCTCTGGAAATAGGTAATGCTATGTCTTTTGTGGTTTTACTGGGTCTCGATAACTGTTTCTCCGATCATGTGGTACTTTGAATGATTGAGATTTAGATGACAAATTTTTATTAGCTTATTTGATTTTTTTCGCTTCTTATGCTTGCATAAATAATCACTTACTATAGTCCAGTGGAAGGCCAAAATTTAATTTTCTGCTCTATCCTTTTTATCGTCCAGTAAAAAGAACCTATTATAATCTTGAACTGACCCTGAAACCTGTGACAGGGTAGGTTCCATGTTCCACATTCCGATGGGTAGGTTCCAGGTTCCAAAAAATGAGGAATCTGTACCCGAGGGTAGGTTTAAGGTTCCAGGTGGAACCTGTGAAGAATCTAGAACCGCTCACCTCTAATCGATACGCAGTGGTGATTGGTTGATGATTGACTCCAATGTTGGTGAGTAACAGATATATTGATGACCAAGGATTATTATGCAAAGACAATTGGTTAACGATTATTTGATAATCATGAATACCAATGACTATGTTATTGATATACAATGGTGATTAATCGATAACGGTTTAACCACATGATTTATATTCAAGATAAGTATTGAAAACGGTTGAGATTGCTTCGGATAAGGACTATTTGGATTACAAAGTCTGAAATCGTGGCAAGGAAGCTACGCTCGAAGATTCAGTGGAGTTATGAAGCCTGTGGCAAGGACGTTACACCCTAAGATTCAAATAATAACCGCTCATAAGCAGTAATCAATAATGTTAGGCTATAAATGCCCGAAGTCTATTCATGTAAAAGTTCTCTCAATCAATCAATCAAAGATTCAACATTCTCGCAAATTTATCTTTATCTTTACTTTTTTCGCAATTTATCTTTTCCATATCTTTTAATTCCCATATTTCGGTCATAGTTTCAGATATCTTCATCGTCAATTAAATTCCAATGAAGCATAAATGTTGTTTGTGATTCATTGATACTCCCGTCTGGAATTGCCTTAGAACCCGTCTCCTATGTATAAAAACCAAAGAATCAATTTCGGTGAAAGATATTTCGTCGATTAAGACACTTTACGGCCAAATATTTTCTATGAGTGTCAATATAAAAGTTACTAACGTTTGACGAAAATGTGACAACATTCATTGAAAGATTATGCATTATGACAAGATCAATCTGTGAAGACCCATCCATTCCTTTAGACCTCTATTGCCAAAGATTATTAGCGGGACATGGAAAAGTTTAACAAAAAGCCAGGACCCTCGTGCCATTGATTAATGCTAAGGATTTGTATTTCTTACCATGTTGAGGAACACAGAGAGAGTAGTAAATTGAAAAAGGGCAAAAGTACACCACAAGTGCCATAACTTGTGTACGGCGATCACTTTGGTGCCATAACTTTTTTTTGGATCACTTTGGTGCCAAGTCGGAGGAAAATCGATCACTTTAGTGACTCCGGCCAAAATTCCGGCCAAAAAGCTGACCTGGCTTTTTTATTTAAAAAAAGAGTGTGACGTGGATATTGGGGTCAACATTTGATGTCCACGTGGACGAGCAAAATGACGTCGCTCAGTCCACATGGACAAGAAGGACGACGTCGTTCCATTTAGGACAGCAAACGACGTCGCTCAGTTCAAAGGTCTTAGCATCGCGTCGCTCGTCACACCTGCTCTGTCTCCCTCGTCCAGTCGTCGTCGCCTATCGCTCATCGCTCGTGGCGCCCTCATTTCGACGCCGTCGCCGTCACCGTCACCAACGCCATCTCTTGCCTTCCCCTCGCGATCGGTCGGCGTCGCTCTCTCATCCCGTGGACTAAGCATCACTCGTCCCGTCGGCGTTGGTCCCGTCTCCGTGGCAAATTACGAAGGTCGGTCTTCAAATAAGGGCTACTAATTTCTATTTTACTGAATTGATCGACACATTATGCTTCATTGTCCTATGTTTCACTCAATTAATTGGTAGATTAGGGCTGCCTTCGGGAAATTAGGGTTTGAAGTAGGAAATTAGGGCTTGAACTTGGGAAATTGGGGCTCGAACTTGAAATTAGGTCTTGAACTTCTGAAATTAAAGCTTGAACTTCATAAATTATGGCTAGTTGTTCGGATATTAGGGCTTAAAGTGGATTCGATTGTGATGGTGCCGGGCTGAGTATATGCGATAGACTGTGGTCCATGTGGGGACTTCTGTCATTGTCACCCATGTGGTCTGATGGTGGCTTTTTCAATCTTGTCGACCATGTGGGGGACCTTCATGTGAAGCTGTGCTCTTTTTCCTATGTGGTGTGGTCCCAAAAGCTAAAATATTGAAATTTTTGGCTTTTTTCCTTCAATGCAGGGTCGATATGGGGGATAAAGACACAATTATCGGCGTCATTGTTCGCTATGGAGGAGAATTTGTCATCGGCACTGACGAGTGGGAATACTTTGGGGGACTTGAAGGTACTGTTTATTTCGATAGAAGCAAGCCAGCATTTATTAATCTCATGAGGGATATAATTCAACAATTAAGATGTAAAATAGGAAGTTTGCATTATTGTGTTCCTGGAAGCAGCTTGAAGGACGGTATTAGAAACTTTGATGATGATAATGGTGTTAAGGATATTATCTACCATTATCTTCATGGAAAAGAAGCTGTTGTGTACGTTGAGTCCTATAGTGATGGTGAATCGATGAAGGGGCCGAGGAGGAGACGTAGGTGATGGTGCTTTGCTTTACCTAGTACTCGGGTTGGTGCTAGTTCTATTATAGATGAAGCTGGACATGAGAGGAATGAGAGGGAGGCAAGCCATGCAATGAGTGAAGAGTTCACTGGATTTGAGTTCACCTGGATTGTCGTGGGAAGTTGCTGCATCTAGTGAATCAGATGATGAGGGTGTGACAAATGTAAATTTACCAAGTGAAGATGACGATGAGGAACTTGCACAGTCAAGGCAAAAGCAAAGGGAATTTGGAAAAAAATCAATAGCTGCACTTGGAGGATTGCATAAAGCTGAACCAGGACATAGCATTGATGGAGCTCCAGCTGAAGGTAATCACACTAATTATGAAGAAAGTGGCTCTGATGAACAGAATGATAATTCTGAAAATCAGCATGAAGATGATGATCCCGTTGTGCGCAGAAGGAAACGTAAGTATCCGTTATACGATCTTGGCTCTTCTTCTTCTGTGTTGACTGTAGGTCTGAAATTTTCTGATGTCAAACAATTCAAAGAAGGGATTATCAAGTATTCAATAGCTGAACAGAGGACTCTTCAGTTCACTCGAAATACGCAGGACTATGTTAGAGCAAAGTGTTCTCAACCTAGTTGTTCGTGGAAGATATATGGCGCACGTTCAAAGAGGGACGGGTCATTCCAAATTAGGTCATTACAGGAGGAACATACTTGTTCCATCATGTTTGACAACAAAAGGGTAACGAGTGCTTGGTTGTCGAAGCACTTCTTCGATACCATTAAAGCGATGCCTGATGTGAAGAGTGCTCAGCTGAAGCAGTTGGTGAGGGAGCAGGTAAGGATTAACGCGTCACTCAATCAGTGTAAAAGAGCCAAGTATAAGGTGATGAGAAAAATTCTAGAGAGGTACAATGAAGAATATGGTCAAATTTGGGAATATGTTGGAGAATGTAGGCTGCAAAACCCGGGTAGTCGAGTTTATGTTGAGGTTGTGGAGCGGCCACTACCTAACCATGGGACTAACTTTGACCGAATTTATATTTGCTTTGATGCATGCAAGCGGGGATTTGTTGCTGGTTGTAGACGAGTCATAGGGTTAGATGGATGTTTCTTGAAGGGTGTGTGCAAGAGAGAATTGTTGGCTGCCATTGGGAGGGATGGCAATAATCAGATGTTTCCAATTGCTTGGGTCGTTGTGAAGGTAGAGAGCAAGGATACTTGGTCGTGGTTCCTGAAAAATTTGATGGCGGACCTTGAGATCACTAATGGAGGAGGTTGGGCATTCATGAGCGACCAACAAAAGGTAATGCTGGTGCAACTGCACAAACAATATTTATGACATTTTATCTTGCACATGCCTTTATTAATGGCTTGATGTATGAATTCTTGTAGGGACTTCTTCCTGCTCTAGCTGAGTTGATGCCATTTGCTGAACATAGGATGTGTGCGAGGTACATATATGCAAACTGGACAAAGATCTACAAAGGGGAGAAACTACAGAAGCAATTTTGGATGATAGCTAAGAGCACCAACATGGCTGATTTTAGAATTCACAAACAGCAGCTGCTTGACTTGACGAAGGACGGTTATGAAGCACTTTTTCAAACTGAACCCAGGCATTGGTGCAAGGCCTTCTTCAGTGAAGAATTCAAGAGCGATATCATTGATAACAATCTCAGTGAAGCCTTCAATGGCAGAATTTTAGAGGCGAGGTGCAAACCAATCATCAGCATGCTTGAGGATATTCAAGTGATAGTCATGACAAGGCTGCAAAAACAGAGAGATGAGGCTGCGAAGTGGACTGGACAGTGTGGTCCTAGGATTGCTAAAAGATTGGATGACAACTTGGCGAGTAGTAGGTTCTGTCATCCTATCTGGAATGGAGATGATGGCTATGAGGACATGGAAAAAACAGACAAGTATGTTGTCCAATTGGACAAACTAAAGTGCTCATGTCGAGCTTGGCAACTTTCTGGAATTCCCTGCATACATGCCATTTTTGCCATCCAAGCGAAGTACCATAATCCCAAGGATTACCTGCATGGTTGCTACCACAAAAGCACATATCTTGCTGCGTACCAGCACATGATGCAGCCTATTAGAAGTACAAAATTCTGGGAGCCGACAAATCATGAAGCCCCTCATCCTTTGCCACTTAAGAAACAAATGGGAAGGCCTAAAAGGAGACGAAGAAAGCAGGAGGGAGAGCCCAGAAGTAAGAAGATGAGCAGAGTCAGGTGTAGAGATAAAATGCTCATATTGTCGTGAGGTAGGTCACAACAAAAGTGGTTGTAATTTGAAGAAGCAACATCAGTTGCTTCAACAGCCAAGTGGAGGGACTCAAATTGGATCAAGTGTAGCGCCAGCATAAGAACCAGCTGAAGGGGCTGTTGAAAGGCCTGCTGGAGGGCCAGCTGATAGGCATGCTGATTGTCTAGCTGAAGGGCCTGCTGAATGCCAAGTTCAAGAACCAGCTGAAGAGCCAACCGGAGGCCCAGGTTTAAGGGCAACCTCCTCCTCGACTGTTGCACAGGCTAGGAGAAAATATCCAGTAAGCTATATGTATTTGTATTAATCTTTAGTGAGCAGACTTTGGCTTTAGTTGATATTGTTTTGTCCTTATCAGTTGAGAAGAAAACCAACTGAACAAGCAGCTCAGGTTCCTCAAAGTGAGGCACCATATCAAACAAGAGGGGTCCTCGGCAGAAGATTAAGGCAATATGGTTATGGAATTTATACGGACTTCAATACTGGAATGACTATTTTGCATGTAAGTTTTGTACATCTCATACATTTCATTCGTGAGTTTTTCACTTTTATGACAATATTGCTTCTTCTCATCCATGATTATGTTGTAGCCTGGGAGGAGTTCAGAGGTTTTCATATCTCAAGTTGGCCCAAGCCAAGAGTCAAGAGCTGCACCAAAAAGAATCCAACCAACGTCGCAAGCAGCTGGTCCGAAGAGAAGAAGGGTGGCTGCAGAGAAGAGTGTTCGTAAACTGCCACCAACAAAAAACTCAACACTAGTTCCTGATCAACCAGCATATGCTGACAGCTCCAAAACAGCCACCAACACCAGTAAGAAGAAGATAGTTGCTACGCCTAAGAAGAAATCTCGAGCAAGAAGGCCAGTAGAACAACCTGCTGGTCCAGCAGTTGAAAAAGATGCAGCTGGAGCAGTTCAAGAAGAAACAGCTCTAGCTATTGAAGAAGATGCAACTCAAGCAGTTCAAGAAGAAGCAGCTCCAGTTGTTGAAGAAGATGCAGCTCCAGCAGTTCAAGAAGAAGCAGCTCCAGCTATTGAAGAACCTGCATCTTCAGAAGAACAACCTGCAGTTCTTCCAGTTCGAAAGAGTCAAAGAATTATGAATCAATTCAAGAAGCCGTCGAAAGGAAAAGGAAATTGTGGACTTATCACTATTGACTAATGGGAGGGTGTTGAGGTGATTGTTAGTTTTTGTGAAATTAGGGAGGTTTACCGTATTGGCTAATAGGAGGTTGATTTTTTGTAGTCCTGGAATGTTATTGACTAATGGGATGTTGTGTGTAATGACTAAATTCGATGTTTACCGTGGTTAAGGTGGTTGTGATTTCCATATTTTTACACACGTGTTTGTTCTGTTTTAGTATAGTACCGGTGTAGTGGGGTGCTTGCAAGTTGCATCAGTAAGTTAATATTCAAAGAAACTTACTAATGCAGTTGGTGGGGAGGGTGGGAATTGGTGCTGCTAGTGCTGGTTTTTTGTGCTATTTTCAGGTGCAATATGGTGCTTACACTAGCTGCTGATTTTGTGCTGTTTGGGAGTGCAGTATGGTGTTTGCACTAGCTGCTGATTTTGTACTATTTGGGAGTATAGTATGGTTACTATTTGGGAGTATAGTATGGTAGCTGCTGATTTTGTCATATTTGGGAGTGTAGTATAGTGCTTGCACCAGCACGCCAGCACGTGCTGGTGCAAGCATTTTCACTCGGTTTTGAATATGGTTTGGGGGTTGTTTGAAGCTGGTGATTGAATATGATTTGGGGGCTGTTTGAACCAATTTATGAGTATGGTTTGGGGCGGTTTGGTTCTGGTGAGCAGTGCTGGTACAGTTACTGCTTTGATTATGGAATGATCTGGTTAAAGATTGGTTTGTTGGAACCAAAGTCTCCATTTTTCAAAGAAACACACGGCATGACACTTAAGTGATCAACTTTTGGCCACAATTGGCACTGAAGTGATCACTTTTGAACCACGACTGGAACTTAAGTGATCACTTTTGAACCACGACTGGCACTTAAGTGCTCACTTTTGAACCACGACTAGAACTTAAGTGATTACTTTTGAACCATGACTGGCACTTAAGTGATCACGATTAGAAACATTTGGCACTAAAATGTCAACTGCTGAACTTGTGACGACTTCATAATTTGCTGCTACGCAGAGTTGCAGCACTTGCAGCACCTCATTTTTCAGTAATGAGCCTTACTCCATAATATGCAACCATCTAACCAGATGAAAAAAATACAACAAATGAGCAAGTGAATATACAGCAAATGAGAAAAAAATATGAAGCAAATGAGGAAGTGCAGCAAATGACAGCAAATGAGCAAAAATATGCTGCCAATGAGGAAGTGCAGCAATGATAGCAAATGAGCAAAAATATGCAGTAAAATATGCTGAAAATGAGAAAGTGTAGCAAATGACAGCAAATGAGCAAAAATATGCAGTAAAATATGCTGCAAATGACAGCAAATGAGCAAAAATATGCTGCAAATGAGGAAGTACAGCAAAAGACAGCAAATGAGCAAAAATATGCAACAAATATGCTGCCAATGAGGCAAAACTGCATCAAAATATGCAGCAACAAAATACTAAGCAACTCAACATTGAGAACCAATAAATTTCAACCTTCCATTTGTGATAGATTGCAGCAAACCTCTTGTTACATACATAAATTGCAGCAAACTAATAACACAACCGTAGCTACAAATTGCCAAATACACGTACATAGTACAAGCCTATCTTAAATTATGGTAGACTAAGAAACTTTTGCTCATAACTGACATTACATTTGACCATAAAATAGGCTATGAAAAATATCAATAACACAATCAACAATCGATAACACTTTCTTTCGATTTTCATCCTTCGAACTTCCTTCTTCAAATGGTTGGCCAGAGATGCTAAAGCCTTCATTTCAGCTTGCAATGAGTCGACATCGTCCAACTCGTCCATTAATGCAGGTGGAGGTTGATGTCGAGCTTCAAGTAGCTTCACTATTACCTCTGTTGCTCAATCTGAAAATTTCGCATCAACCCACTTGAAGAATTTGCACTTCGAGCCTTCTCTATACCTGGCGCATCCATGGAATCTTCTCCCGGGGTTCAACCGAGTCCAAGATGTTCTTCTTGGACTCGGTAATCCACAATAGCAGAAGAACCGACCTTCTTCACTTCGTTCAAACGAATTTGAGCCGCTAGTGAAGCTCCTGCCATCCATTTGCAACCTTTGGCTGTCAATTTCGGGGAAAACAAGGAAATAATATGGCCGATTAGGGTTTGCAATTGGGGAATATGTCCAATTAGCCGATTTAAGGTTCCTATATTTGGGGGAGAAAGGTTGAACGACGTCGTTTTCGCTATAAGGGCTGACTAGACTCTCCGGCCTGCTCCGGCCAGCCATCTCAGCATCGAATATTAATAAAAAAGAGCCACATCAGATTTCCGGCGTGCCATGTCAGCTTTGGCACTAAAGTGATCGATTTTCAAAAAAGTTGGCACCAAAGTGATCCGAAAAAAAGTTATGGCACCAAAGTGATCGCCGTACACAAGTTATGGCACTTGTGGTGTACTTTTGCCATTGAAAAATGTTACCTTTTGAGTGAAAGACAAACGTCTCCTTTTGCTTTCATGGAAGTAGATACCATTCAGCCTACCAAGGAAGGTTCTTTATCCACTTTCCTAAACATGGGTCATCTCTTTTGTTATATATAGAGAGAAAGATGTTCTCATTTTGGTGTGAAAAAATACTTGTAATCTTTTTTTTTTTTTGATGACCCGGGAACCGCCGTACAGCTGACAGCCGGCGACGTAAACCCGGGGTGACGCTAGCGCAGGACCCACCACCACGGCGCCACACTTAAGAATCCCTAACGACTACGCTGGGATTCGAACTCCCCACCCTTCGTGAGGGGCAGAGAGCGCGAACCAACGCAGCCGCTGCGGGCGGTGGTTACTTGTAATCTTTTTCAAGTTTGGAAACAACAACAATGAAGATGACGTACCACCCGCCCGGGTGGCGCTTCGCGGAGCGCGCACTCTTCCTCTCGCAAAGGTTGAGTGTTCGAATCCCGGGTGCCGCTGCAGGTGACTTAACCGGTGCACGTGCGTGGTGGATAGCACGTGTCGCCCTGTGGTTTACCTCCCGGCTATCCCCGTGCGGGGTTCCCGGGTCATCAAAAAAAAACAATGAAGATGACGCTATCGGAGGTTCTTAGCTTGGTCGTGCTCGTACTTATAATCCTTGCTTCTGACCATGGTACTGTCTTTACTGCGATACCTCCATTTGTTTCCGTCTTAAGTCTGTGATAACTTAACTTAAAGCTTAAATATTGGGTTCTTTTCCATTGGCTTGGTCCATAAATTTTGAAAAAATACTGGTCAAACTCAATCTATCTACGATGTTATTGACAAACAGAAAATGCATGAAAAACTGGTGATTTTTTTTTGCGATGTTGATGTACTGAATCGTGATATGTAATTGGCTTAACTTCTTTGACTGAAAACTCTTGCAATCATCGACGGCTTTGTTATGTATAAAAAAAATTTCGTGTATTCGAATGCATTTTCTGCACGATTATTAGTTGTGCACCGTGTCATCCATATAATAAGTTTATGCTATATTTGTCGCTTTGATGGCAAAAGATTTGCTCGAACACAACCTGATCCAAAAGACCAAATGATCATCATATCTTTTACTAGTCAAACCAACATGATTGATCACTCAATTAACTAATAATCTCAAGTGACATGATTGCTGTTCCTTTTGCATTCTGACACGGTTCTTGCTTGTACAGTCGACCCGTCTTGCACCGATGACCTCATCGCTATAATCCTTTGGCTAGGCGACAATTCGATTGGTTTTGATGAAGAATTACTTGACAGAGTTAGTTTGATCAGATTGAAGTTACCCATAGCCGGGTTTTCATAACAGACGATCGATTTGTGTGCTGCGGATTCGACTTTTTTGCCTCTACAAAGACTAGGACTCGTCGATCATGTCCTC